ACCGTTTGGCGTTCGTTTAGCGTATATGTTAGATCTTTTAGCACACCTTTTGCTGTTAGTTTAGCATATATCTTAGATCTTTTAGCATACCGTTTTTTTTTTTTTTTTTTTCATTTAGCCTTTATTTATCCAGGTTAGTCTCATTGAGCCACGAGAACTCATTTTCAAGAGAGACCTGTTTTAGGGAGCACATGATCGGGTTAAGGGCCTTGCTCATGGGCCCAGAGTGGGGCGAATGAGGGTGGGGGCAAGTGTGGGTGTTTCACCTACCCCACCCACAATTTTTTTGATGTTGTCGGGGCCGGGGCGTGAACCGGCGATCTTCGGATCACAAGCCCACCTCTCTAACCTCTGCGCCACTACTCCCCGATCTTGGATCTTGGATCTTTTAGGGTACAGTTTGGTGTTCGTTCATCGTATATCTTAGATATTTTAACATACCGTTTAGCGTACCATTTAGCATATTTCTTAGATCTTTTAGCGTACCATTTGTCATTTAACATATATATTTTAGATCTTTTAGCATACCATTTAACGTTCGTTTAGCGTATATCTGGATCTGCGTATAGCGGGATCTGTCTCACTTTGACTGGCATCGTATTCTGTTAACTGATGATGTGAACTCTGCTTGGAACTATTTCCATAATAATTTCATTTATTTCCTGAACTTACATGCTCCTTTTCGTCAGTTCAGAATAAAGGGACGAGACAGCCCCTGGTTTACTCCAGAGCTAGCTGACCTCCTGCACAGGAGAGATCATCTTTGGGCTGCAGCGAGAAAATCTGACTCAGACACTGATTGGTTGAGTTTTCGACAGATGAGGAATAAATGTACAACTGCTGTCAAAGCAGCAAAACGAAACTATTTCTTATCTCAGACTTCCAAAAATCTAAATGACCCTAACAGATTCTGGAAAACAATTAAATCTCTCTCAGGCACCCCCCAATCATCTGACCTCCCATCACAACTTCTCGTTAACTCTGTTCCTGTGTCAAATAAGCACGAGATCCTGAACTGTCTCAACAAACATTTTGTTGCTTCTGGTTCTTTATTTGACACAGTTACTAATGGAAAATCAGCCACTTCACTTAATAACCAAACTTCTACAAATCAAATCCCTCCTACAAGTCAATCCTCAGTTAATCACACCTTCTCTTTTTCTCCATTCTCAGTCAGTGAGGTCAATAAACTGTTAAAAGATCTTGATCCTAAAAAATCTGCAGGTCCAGATGAACTTCCACCTTATTTCTTAAGGCTGGCTGCTCATATCATCACAGTCCCTGTGACCCACATCTTCAATCTCTCCATAAGACAAAACTCCATCCCAGACACTTGGAAAACAGCCTTTGTTCTTCCTTTGCTGAAGGGAGGTGACCCCACCTCACTGAACAACTATCGACCAATCTCTAAACTCTGCATTTTAGCCAAGGTTCTAGAAAAACTGATAAACTCTCAAATCAAAAATTACCTGGACTCATTTAACATCTTACCTCCACATCAATCTGGGTTCAGGAAACAACACAGCACAACCACTGCTTCACTGAAGGTTCTTAATGACGTTGTTGAAGCACTGGATGCTAAGGATTATTGTGCTGCACTTTTCTTAGACCTGTCTAAAGCTTTTGACACTGTGGATCATAACATCTTGTGTCATAAACTCTCAGAAATCGGTTTCTCAGATCACACCATTGGTTGGTTCTCTAACTATCTTTCAGACCGGAGGCAATGTGTTCAACATAATGGTACTTCCTCCAGTTATTTAACAGTCAACAATGGTGTACCACAAGGCTCAGTCTTAGGACCCACCCTCTTTACAATCTACATACATAATGTAGGTAAAAACATCCCTAATGCATCCATACATTTCTATGCTGATGACACAGTTGTTTATTGTCGAGCTAAAACTGTTGCTAAGGCTTTCCAGCTTCTGAAATCTGCATTTAACAACATCCAGACTGATTTGTTTCACCTCAAACTTGTCCTAAATGCCGAAAAAACCAAAGGGATGCTTTTTTCAAATAGGAAGTTGGTCCCAGCAGTTCTTCCTCCGATTTTATCCTCAAATGGTGTCCCCATTGAGTTTGTTGATTCCTATAAATATTTGGGTATCTTGGTCGACTCACATCTTTCTTTTAAGCTCCATGTGGAAAACTTGGTAAAGAAACTGAAAATTAAACTGGGTTTCTTTTTCAGAAACAGATCCTGTCTAACCCTGAATGCTAGAAAACGCCTTGTATCTGTGACTTTCCTTCCCTCAATTGATTTTGGTGATATTATTTACATGAACGCTCCTACAAGAACCCTGCAGATGTTGGATGCTGTCTATCATGGTGCACTAAGATTCATAACTGGCTGTGATTATCGTACCCATCACTGCACCCTGTATTCATTGGTTAACTGGACATCATTAACTTCACGCAGACTCTCTCACTGGTACATTTTCATCTTTAAATCACTTCTTGGTCTGCTGCCTTCATACATCTCCTCCTACATGTCTCTGCGTGAGTGCAGCTACGGAGTGCGCTCTCAGGACATTATTACCTGCAGTGTTCCCTCAGTGAGGACTGAACTAGGCAAAAGGGCCTTCTCCTACTCCGCTCCTGTTTCCTGGAATATCTTACAAAAAGATTTGAAGCTCTCGACCTTGACCTCTCTAAGTGGCTTTAAGAATCTGTTGGACTCCTGGCAGGGTCCAATGCTGACATGTTCCTGTTTTTAGTTTTATACATTTGTCTTGGAATCTAGCTGTTTTTTTGGTTTTGTTACTTTTTTCCTTTTAGCCATCCTATTTGTTAAAAAAAAAAAAAAAAAAAAAAACTGTAGTATGAGTTTTTATAACTGCTTATTGTTGTTGCTGTTGTCCATTGTTGTCATCTTTCTTTGTTGAAATCAGGTCTCTCTTGTAAATGAGTCCTCGAGGCTCAATGGGATTTACCTGTATAAATAAAGGTTGATTGATATCTTAGATCTTTTAGCGTACCATTTGGCATTCGTTTAGCATATATCTTAGATATTTTAGTGTACCATTTGTCATTCGTTTAGCATAT